TATATATATATATATATATATATATATATATATATACATACACATATATGTATGTATATATCAGGGGCGTTTCCTCCAAGGAGGCAAGGGAGGCAGTGTCACCTCTCCTCAAAATTGGATGAGAAAATAATCGATATTACAAAAATAAAACAGCGCAAATATGACTAAATATGATATTAAAAGTCGCTCGTTTTTATAAAGTAACACTGTCCAGCAGCGACACCCGCAGCTAAAGTTACAGCGGAGGCTTGCCTCCCTTCGGTCCATAGACTTTCTACAGAGACCCTAAAGCGTGCTGTGAGTTTTCTGGAGGCTCATTGGGGTAATTATAAAGTAAACAACTCTCCTGCTTAGATATCACTGTTTTGTGTCATGTCAAAATGTAACATGAAATGGCTTGAAAACGTGATGACTGTCAGTTTTTAGTGAGCATTCAGCTTGATGAAATGAAAGATGTAGCCTATCTTCGTGCCTGTGACAATGTTTGTGACAGGGCTTTTATGACGATGACCCGAAAATAAGTTGACTATTGAAAAGAACAGCTGGCTGTCTTTCAATAACTACTCTAGTGGCGCAGATGGTGAAGTATGTGTTAAGTCGTTTTTGACGCGATCGACCGGGGTTTGAATCCGTGTTTTGCCTAACTTTTTTTCCTACCATTTCAAATCAGATATCACGTTGGAAAGGCATGTATTTTCAATAATAATGAAGGAAATAATCTAAAAGTTGAACTTAATGTATCAGGTAGGGTTAGTAAGTGTAGGGAGGGATTTAGTGCCCCATAAGGTGACATCCATTTAATAATTTGAATTAAAATAATTTACACTCAATATGCTATTAATGCATACTGTTTTATAATGTACTACAATACTGAGGTGCAGATAATTGCCACTATTTGCAATAAGTAGTATAAATAGCAGAAAATCCTGCTAACGTTAGGTGTAAATAGAATCTATAGCTATTTGCACTTAGTGTAAGCATGTGTATATATATATATATAAGTGCTGTCAAATGATTAATCGCATCCAAAATAATAGTTTTTATTTACATAATATATGTGTTTGTACTGTGTATATTCATTATGTATATATAAATACACACACATACAGTATATATTTTGAAAATATTTACATGTATATAGTTATATTCATATAATTTATATTATATATAAATATATTTAATATATAAACAACATGTTTTTCTGAAATATATACATGCATGTGTGTGTATTTATATATACATAATAAATATACACAGTACACACACATATTATGTAAACAGAAACCTTTATTTTGGATGCGATTAATTGTTATACAAGTAAAAAATCTAAATTATAAGCATCTGCTAAATAAATAAAATGCTAAATGAATGCAAGACATCTAAATATAGACATAATTTATAAATCATATAAATGATTTTTGCCTGGCACATGATAAAACAAAAAAGGCTCATTGACTTTTATCTAAGTAGGGATATCTAGGAGCCTCCGGAATGGCCCTTTTGTATATTTAGCGAATTAATAAAAAATAAAAAAAAAATGTATATTGCAACCTAGCATTATAGTTGTGACTTGTGCACGACCAAACGCCACTAGCAATTTCCCCCGAAAATGTAAAAAATTCTGTCTTCAAACAATCTTTTTTTAATGCACTTAGTTTCAAGCAATCGTTTTCAAGCATCTAGTTAAGTCAGAAGTGATTGAAGACTTCTAATCATTTGTGGGACTGTGTGTGTGATGTTCTGCTCAGGTGGGGCTGGTTCTGTCCATCCCAGCGTTGTATCAGGAAGAGGCTGTAGACCTGCAGCCTTCAGCAGTCAGCACAGCGTACAATCACCTCTACCTGCTGCACCTGCTCACTATGACACACATGCTGCAGGTCCTGCTGGCCTCACACGGTAAACACACACACACCGTCAGAGTCCGATGCAAACACTAAAGTATAACATTTTTATGCACAGCACTTATTTTCAATAATATTGTGTGTAGATTGTGCTGTAATAGGAGGGCCGGGGGAGGGCGATGAGGCCCAGGCTGCAGCCGAACTCTTCTCTATTGTGTCTCAACACACAGACAGGTGAGTTTAAATGCGTGTCACATAGGGAAAGGCTCCCAGTTTTTCTCTTGCGGTCTCTCATCGTCTCTCTCTTTCTCAGGTTAAGGGCTGGTGTGACTGGTTTCTGTGTAGAGGGTGTAAAGAGAGGTGTGCTTCCCTTCCTGCGCTGTGCTGCACTGTTCTTTAATTGCCTTACAGGAGTGCCCCCTCCAGAGGAGCTGTCCGGTACTGCAGGTCACTACACTTCATATGTTGTGTTTAAACATGCCACACTGCTATGACATGAAAACGTTTGAATAAATAGATGGTTGTAGGTTCAAATGACTAATAATGACTATATCACCAAGGCTGTATAATGCCAAGTAAATGTGTATTTAATGTGTATGTGTATTGAATTGTCTGTCATTGTACACATAGCAACGCTGCAGAGTACTGTATGCATATAAATCTAACCGTTATTAACCATAATTATTCTTCTATGCAGAATCACCTGAAAGTCAGCTGCATCTGTTGTGTAGTTACCTCTCTTTGCCCTCCAACCTGTTTCAACTGTTTCAGGACCACAGGGATGTTGTAACCACCTTAATAAAGAGGTACAAATCAGATGCGCACAAACTCAAAAAACATTTCTTATATTAATGCGCCATGACTAAATATCTACAATATCAGCTGCAATTGTGCTAATGAACTTGATTACCTGATATAATTATAATAGTAGTAATAAACAAAACAAATAAATAATAAACTAAACAGTAACAGTATTGTTGTTGCTGTTTTGTTGTTTATTATTAACAACATTATTTTCATTATATTATTGTTGCAGCTGTTTAAATGTTCTTGTTTAGTTGTTACTAATAATAAGGATTATTATAATCATTATAATTGCTATTTAAGATCAATATTATATTGTTTATTATATTTATTTATAACTATTATATTATAATAACAATGATAAAACAACTATTATTAATATGTAGTAGGGGTGCAGCGGTTCTCGGTAAAAAATCGAACCGTAACGTTCTCCACACACGGTTCGGCATGCACTAGGAACGCGGTTCAACTTAAATCTGACAATGCATCTGTAATATGGTTTGTTAGAGTTCGCCTAATGCATGTTTCTGTTAATGGATACAAATTCTGGCTTCGCAATACATTACAACAAGAGCGATGAGAGAAAAAAAACAACTATACTTGGACAAACCAGTCACTCTTTGTTCAATGCGAGTGCTGTATGCTGGAATAACTGTCATTTATACCGTCATCACGTGTTAATAGCGCAGGTGAGACCAGAACAGCACACGTCGCTATCTGTGTTTAAACTAAACTCATTTAAGCCTTGCCAGTTTAAATATTAAAGAGCCAGAAGACGTGAACTCGCACCCACAGTGAGAAGATCTGTGTGTGCGCTCATCCGAAGCGCGTGAACCCGCATCTCAAAGCACAAATATTAAGCTCTCTGTGAAGTATTGTGTTTGAATGGACAAATTCACACAAAAATTATGTCAAAATGCCCGTCTTGGTGAGTATCCTAGCAGACATAGTCGGCTGAACATACAGTATCAGTGCGTTCTCTTAAAGTGACAGCACTTTCTCCGAACCGTGAGTAAGTTGAACCGTTGCATCCCTAATATGCATGTTGTTTATTTATTTACATTATACTATTTAATATAAATATTATATTATTTACTTTGTTTTTTATCACTATTATATTATAATAACTATTATTAATAATAATTCTTTATTATTATTTTAAAACATTGTTTTGTTTATAAAATAGTAAACAATAATATTTTTAAATTAAACTTAAAAGTGGAATTTATTATGTTATTTTTGTTTAAAAATAATGATCATCCTCATCAAAAAAATTTATTTTTGGTTTTCAAATTTCATAATACATAATTCACACATCAACGAAAAAAAAAAAAAAAAAGCTAAAGCCAT